CGCCCTGGTGGCCGCGGTGCGCTCGGCGGGCCGGCGCGCGGCGCGCGCCGTGGGCGGCCGCGCTTACGGCGTGCCGAAGCTGCCCAGTTCGGAGTGGGGCTGCAGCCGAGGTCAACGGCAGCCGTCCCCTCGGCGGGGGAAGAGGTACCCCATACCTCTACCCTTCCCTCGTTTTCTCTGTTTAGGGCCGCTTGGGAAGCTCTCGTCGCCACCACTGGATTCGCCTCGAAATTCTGGTCAGGACGCACCTCGTGAGAGGTCCGGGGAGTAGCGGTATCGGTACTTCGGGGTTTCCCCATCCCCAGATATCTGGCGTCTTGACAAGCTTAAAACCTCGAGACCTTGGCGTCACAAGTTTTCGAGCCGGGCGGTTCCGCATAGTCTCGGGCCTCGGGACTTCCACATAGCAATCCTGGTTGGAAAATAACACAGAAAGATGGGGTCCAGGGATCCGTCGTAATTTTTCGCGATGCGGTCTCTTTAACGTGGCCTGATATCAGGGGGCGTCGGTTGTCCATAGTTCTCGGCCTCCGGATGCCCTCCTCGAGGGGCCACGGGGCCGTGAAAGAACGGCCCGGCCCTTGGGTGAGGGTTTGGGCTTCTGTCGGGGCCGCATTATAACGATCAAGACATCGTATATCTGCGTCCCCGGATCCCTTCGAGGCATTCCAAACGTTCTTTCGCCTCCGGGTGCTTCCCATCAGCTGCGCCTCGCCGAGGGTGTTCCACGGGTGGCCGGATCGTCCCGAACGGCCGCCAGAGATTTGAGTTATGGCCCGACAGCCACACATCTTCGTCGCGAACATGACGCGACGGACAAGTTTGGCAGTTTGCGGCCTTTGGGGGCCATCGCCGGGCCCCAGGATTGTCAAATAATGACTCGAGATGAGAAGCAAGTCCTGGGGAAGGGGTCCAGACCCCAAGACCCCCGACGTCATGATTTTGTTTCGCGACGCGACCCACAGAGGTCCAGATCCATTCCCCAGGACCGGTTTCTCATCCCGAGTCGTTTTTTGACGGTCCCGAGGCCCGGTGAGGGTCCCCGGAGGCCGAAAATAGAGAAACATTTCCCGTCGTGATTTTTTCACAGCGCGAGGATGTCTGGGCCTCCGGGGGTCCATCTTCGTGGAAAAAGCACACGGCCGGAGTTTTGGATCCTGGGCGTTTGTCGCTCTTGTTGGGTCCTCCCTGGCGCCTTCTCGCCGCCACATCGGGATCCGCCGCGAAGAACGGGTTAGGACGGACCCCAGGATATGGCCCCCGACTCTGGATCCCCAGAACCCCCCGAGTCATGAGAAAATCACGACGGGAAGGTTTTCTTGATTTTCGGCCTCCGGGGGCCCTCACCGGGCCTCGGGACCGTCAAAAAACGACTCAGGATGAAAAACTGGTCCTGGGGACGGGGTCCGGACCATTGGGGGGGTCGCGTGGCGTCCATTTTTTGTTTTCGTGTGCGTTTGCGTGAAAGTTCCATGATTTTGTGGTCAATTTCACACAGTTGCGGAAGATTCCACATGATTATTGAATTTTCAACAGAGCTGTCCACAAAGTCGGGCAGACATTCGCAAAAGCATCACGGAAACCACGACGGAAAATTGCGGCGGAAATGGGCAGTAGACAGGAGCGTGAAGGGTAGGGCGGCGCTTTCCGCCCTACTTGCGGAATCGCCCAAGGCAGGGTGGATCTGGTGCGAAATTTCTGTGGACGATGTGTGTGCAGCGTACCGCGTTGGCGTCTCCTGACGCGTCGCCGATCCTCGTCTCAGGAATGGTACGCTGCATACTTAGAGAAGTGCCTCACAGCTGAACAAACATGTGCACCGTCTTGCGCTGGAGCGGGGCCTGAAGGGAGTTCCGACGTGGTGCGGTGCATAGGCGCCGTTCTCGTGAATGTTGGCGGGTTTGGGCCAGGTGGGGAAGCAGCCGTTATCTCAGCTGGTCCTCCTCCGACGAGCTCGTCCGCCAGCGTGATCCTCACTGCAGCCGCCGAGGCAGCCGAGGAGCTGGCCCAGCGCATCACGGACCGGGAGGCCCGCAAGGTCGCCGATGGAGGGAATCCGAGGGGGGAATTTCTACGTAGCCACCGGTTGGGTGATCGATTTTCGGAGACCTCGAGAGGCGGTGGGTATGGATACAATATCCGGGGCGTCCGTTCCCAGGCGGTGGATACGATGTGGAGAAATTTTCGCCTCGCATGAGGTTGGCGTTTTCTCAACTGTCCTGCGGTCGGGAACCTTGGCTCAGCGTGCAGCGGCGCTGGTTCTGGCCCGTCACGCTTCGACGCGATGCACCCCAATCGCGTCCCAATCTCAACGCGTCAACGTCCCGAGCTTTTCCAAGCCTCCCGCCCTGCGGAGCGGGGCGACATGCGATCCGCTCGCAGGGCACAGCGTGCCGCCAGGGCCGCCACCGCGACGTGTTGAGCAGAGGTTCCCGATCGCATCATGCGCGGGTTTGCCACCGGGCCTCCTCTGTGGGGGTGATCATTGCGCAGCTGGTCC